CGCCCCATTGTCTGCAACGCTCTAAAAACTTCGCAACTAGTCGAACATGAACAAATAAATAACCCCATTTAACGAGACCAAGGCTAATTATCCCGCGAATCTCCCTCCCCCGGACTGCAAGGCTGGGCGACCTTCCGCCCCCTCCGGCCCCCTCCAAAAGGCCGCGGAGCTTTTTAAAGGACAAAAAAGCAAAAGCCAAGCCCGGGCTCTTTACCTTGCACACCAGCTCCTCTCCACTGTGCAGATGCACGGCACGAAAAACGTGGTCTCCCTCCAGAGGTTCCAACAATAAGTATTTCCCGATGCAAGAAACGCAATGCGACAAGTTCGGAGTCTCAGGCGGGCTCGGGGAGCCGAGGTTCGGGCTGAAACTCTGGCTGGGTTCGGCGGATCTTATAGACGACAACTCTTCGAAATCCTGGGTTTTGTTCCGCGATCTCCCATATCTTGCTATTGTGATGGGGGTAGACCTGTGTATGTTCATGAGTGTGAGGATCGCACTCGCCAAACAAAAAACCCGCTGGAGAGACGAGTCGCTGGCGAGTGCGGCTGCAGGCGCCTCCGGGTCACGGATTTTAAAAGGGAACGAGAGGGGAGGGGACGGGAAGGGGGCTACGTGGAGAAAGAGTTGGAAGCCCTCAAACGGGCGCCGCCGGGCACCTTGTCTGCTCCGAGCCCGGCTCCCGGGGGTCCTCGGTCGGCAGCAACTCGGGTCCTTTTGTTACCCCAAAGCAGCCAGCGATTTGCTGAATCTTCGTACTTTTAGTTTCTCTCTCTCTCTTTCCCTTTTTCCAACGTGGATCTAGACGAGTAACCAGATCGCTAAGGTGGGGAGCTGCAGCGCCGGGTCTCCCGAAGCGATCCCCACGCAGGTTTCCCAATCGCAGACGGGGCGAAGGAGCCCTGCTGTAGTTTGTGTGCAGTCTCCGGGGAGCGCACGGCGGCTGCCTGGTCTCAGCGCGTTAGAAACCGAACAAAAAGAAAAAGGAAATAAGCACGGGTACCGGCTCGCGCCGCACCGCAGACAGAATCCGCGCTGCACCCCCTTTTTTGGTGGAAAGGGTGGGGGGCGTGGAAGGGGGGGTGCCGGAGAAAGTAATTACCTACGTTTAAACTGTAGATGGCGTCTGAGGCTTTTCCAAGATCGCAAGAGCTCTCCAAAATTTAAACAAACAGGCCAAAAAAAAAAAATAGCAAGGGAGCATTTAACTTAGAGTGGTCAGCGCTGCCAACAAAAGACTGCAAAAGCTGGGCACGGAGTTGCGGGCCGGGCGCAGGTACCGCGACAAAGCCCAGGGCTTGGCCCTCCGGGCGGAGGTCAGCAGGGGCTCATGCCGTCGCCGCTCGCTCGCGCTCCAGATTGTCCTCCGAATAGAGAGAAGTGCGCGCAGGGACGAGGGTAGATCAATGGTCTCCGATTTCCCCGGCGCAAGCTTCCGGGGGGTCCTCCCGGCGCTGGAAGGGACTGCACCCCCAGCGAGTCAACCCGCGCCGTTCCTTTCTCGCTCGATAACTGGATCTTGCCTAGGAATAATTTGCAACCACTCCGTCTCCCCCTACCCTAAACCCAAATTGCCAGGCGGGGGTTGTTTTGGAGAAGATTGACGGCGTTTCTTCTTCTTCTTATATTTTTTTTCTTCCCCCACTCGGAGGTAAGAGGAATGTGTATTTAAAATTGAAGGGGACGGCCGACGGTGCCCGAGGCCAATCCCCGAGCTCAGCACGCCCGCATCTCTCGGCGAGGCGGTATTAATAGTTACTTACGTGGCCGGGGATCTCGGAGCGAGCCGGGCCGTGTGTGCGCGCGCGCGCCTCGCTCCCGCTCGGTCTCCCCATTCAATGTCACCGACATATTTCTACGGAGCCTCCGCCCCCCTTTCCCCGGCTCCGCGGCACCAGCGACTGGCT